TTAATTTTTTCCCCAGTAATAGAAAGCAAGAATATAGGAAAGCTTGTCTCTTCTTTGGTTTTGTAATTAAGGTTCTTAATTCAAGTCTGAGGACTGATACAAAATATATTTCTGGTTGTACGCAACTCCTCCTTCAGCAATGTAAGTACTCCTACATATGCTATGATACCATTCATCAGTAAATCAGTGCTGTGAGTAGGTTTTATGACTCAGATGTGATATTGCATACTAGTGCTAAACCCTCCAAAACTCTTGCAGTCAGCCCCCAAAAAACGCAAAAGGAAAAAATAAAACAAAGGTTCCTTGCCTGGATTACATGACTGAGTGAGGTGATCGCTTTTGTCCCTTGGTGATTAGTCTGGGAACTTGTCAAGTACATGTTCACCAAAATTCGTGCTACAGGGGTGGCATTCTTTTCTCTGTTTTTTTTTTTTTGATAAGGTAAAGCTTACTGGTGGTGTTCTTGTTTCTACGTGTTGCAACAGTTGGATGCATTGGTTCTTTGGGATGTCTAGTGTCTAAAGAAACGATTTCGGCAAAACTATTTCTTAATGGTTTGAAATCTCTGTTTTGAAGCTTTTGGTGAGCTTTTGGCAAGATGAGGCTGAGCATGTTAAGATAGCAGCACGCTCCTTATTTCATTGTGCTGCTTCACGAGCCATTCCACCTCCACTACGCTGGGATAATCCAAGAGACAATGAGAATGGAGTATCACCAAGTGGAAACTATGATTCAGTCCCAGCAGAAGCACCCACCAACTGCTTGAGGGATAACAGACAAATTGTCACTGAAGGGAACTCTGAGGATGAAGAATCTGAAATAAGATCATGGCTAGAATCATTTGAAATGCAAGATTGGATTTCTTGTGTTGGGGGCATGAGCCAAGATGCAATGACATCTCATATCATTGTTGCTGCGGCATTGTCTGTTTGGTATCCCAGCCTTGTGAAACCAAATCTTTTTGGATTGGCTGTAAATCCCTTGGTGAAGTTGGTTATGGCGATGAATGAGAAATACAGTTCCACTGCCGCAGAAATCCTCGCTGAAGGCATGGAAAGCACATGGAAGGCATGCATTGGTTCTGAAATACCCCGCCTGATTGGAGACATATTCTTCCAAATTGAGTGTGTCACTGGTGCATCCGCTAATACACCTACCAAGAATCCATCTACATCTGTTAGGATTCGTGATACTTTGGTTGGGGTTCTTCTCCCAAGTTTAGCAATGGCCGATGTATTGGGCTTTCTGAATGTCATAGAACGCCAGATCTGGTCAACTGCCTCTGATTCGCCTGTTCATGTAGTATCCCTCATGACTATAGTTAGGGTTGCACGCGGTTCTCCAAGAAACTTAGTTCAATATCTTGATAAGGTTTGTTAAGATACTACTTTATTTGCTAAATTGAAATAAAGTACCAACTTGATGCTACTTGTTACTGCTGTACCATCTTATAGTGTGGTGCTTTCCCTGTGCTTTTATGTTATATATCTGCTTTTCTACTGCAACCCCTTGTTCCCAAATGATACACACAGGATTTCATAGTTAGCTTATGATACTTGATAATCCCCAACAGTTGTTGGATATTGGAGAAATACAATAATTGGTGTTTCTAGCTTTTAAAGTGGCTGTCAGAACCTGATGCCCCATAGCTAATAAGAAACTGAAAAAAGTTGACATTATCTTGCAGACTGTCTTGTTGACCACCATTCCCCAGCCTCCAACCTGAAACACTGACATTGGCACTAGCTCGTGCTGAACACAAGGTAAAAATGACGAGGGGAAAATCTTAAAATTAGCAGAACACAGCATGAATAGGACCCATAATTACTTGTTTATTTGCTTTATGATTGCCAAAAGAGATTAGTAACTAGTAAAAGAATGACTGTTGTTTGTATCCTCAGTTGTTGCTTCACAATCACTATTTGTCTTGCTACCATCTCTGTTTCACGTTGTCGCCCCTTCTTAGTTTTCTACTTTTCAGCGACAATTGAGTAACTTGGTGCAGTTATGGTGTTGCTGATTGTGTTAACCAGGAGGAATAATCTTCCTCCTACACAAACTCTCTAGATTACATGACCATCTTTGAATTTGTAGAACCAAAACTGGACAAGCTGAGAAGTTTCCTTTTTCTGTTGATAAGTGAATGTAATAACAAGACAAATGTGCTTCTAGCGCTGAAGCATTCTCAAATTTTAGCATGTCTAACACCTAGATAGATCTGCAGGTGGTTACTTTCATTTTACAGACAATAGATCCTGGTAACTTAGCCATGCGAAAAACTTGCTTGAAAAGTTCAATGGCGGCATTGAAGGAAATTGCACGCATATTCCCTATGGTGGCACTTAATGATCCAGTGACACGATTAGCTATTGGAGATGCGATTGGAGAGATTAACAGTGCAAGCATTCGGGTATATGATATGCAAAGGTTAGTGAACAGTACTACGTAGCCATATGAGGAGCTTCTTCCCTCTTTGTTCTAGTAATAGTTTAGTATCAAACATGCTGGAACACTAAACTTCATAAAGTACCAGTTTGTGGTATAAACTAAATAATTTATATTTCTTTTTTCCTTTCGAGTATTCCTTGGTTGTCAATATTAAGCATACTATTTAGTTTCATAGCTTTGTAGACCTTCCTTTTTTGAGATAAGTATCTCTACCTTTGTGATTAATCGATTGTCCTTTTATAAATAATACTTATGGCTATTTTCTTTTAAGAACTTCAACTTCAAGGGCTTGCTATGTTCAATCCCAATTCAAAGCTTTTCCGTGCTTTCTCTCTAACAAAGCATGTGAGGCATGGGATAGGGCACATCACGGTTTTGAACTCTGATGCAGACAAAAAAACTGGTATTTAAATGGGGAAGGGTAGGGCGTGGCGGGCCCATTAGCCACCGAGTTTTGAACCATGGTGCCACTGACCATTGGGGATTTCTCTGTTACAAAAAAAAAAAGGTTTTAACACAAACTGGAGTAAAATCCCTTTCAAAAAAAAAAAGAAAAAAAGAGAGTAAAATCTCTTCCTTGTCCACTTCTAAGTGTCAGGATCCATGTTTGGGGGACCTGATTTATATGATTGAGAGAACCTAGGTAATGTGAAACCTGTTATTCATCTAAATGCTTGTAATATTGATTCTGTTTTAAACTCCAATGCAGCATCACAAAAATAAAAGTCTTAGATGCAAGTGGACCTCCAGGATTTCCCAGTTTGCTTGGCGGAGCTTCAGGAATGACTGTGACTACTGTAATATCAGCTCTTAGCTTTTCACCGGATGGAGAGGTACCATGCAGGACGAACTGTTACACATGATCTTCCTCTTTAAGTTCATCAATGGAAAATTGTCAATGTTATTGTGCAGGTTTTATTGCATGCATGGGTTTGTTACCCACTTGATTGGGGACAATGATGTTTACCACCTTCGAGAGAGATTGTGTGCATTGTCTATACGAAGTTTCATATAATGTTGTTTTACTTGTAGGGGCTAGTTGCTTTTTCTGAGACTGGGTTGATGATACGATGGTGGTCCTACTCCTTGGGATCTGTGTGGTGGGAGAAACTTAACAGGAACCTAGTTCCTGTTCAGTGCATGAAACTGATTTTTGTCCCACCTTGGGAGGGATTCTCGCCTAATGCTAGTAGGTCAAGCTTAATGGAAAGTGTATTCTCTAAAGATGGAGATGCTAATTCACAGGTATGCTACCCTGATGCCATTCTTTTAACCAGGCATTAATTTTTATATTGAATAGGCGTAGTTGTGCTTGTGACATGTAGATTCTTACGACTCCAATGATGACTCGTGCAATTAGTTAAATCTGAAAATATATTTGCTTACTCCATTATCCTGCCTTATTTCTTGATCATCTTTCATGCAGGAGAACACCAATGCATCGAATGAAATGGACAGATTTAAACAACTGCTTCATAATATTGATCTTTCTTATAGATTAGAATGGGTTGGTCAAAAAAAAATAAAGCTCACACAACATGGCCGTGATTTGGGCACTTTCCAGCTATGATACTAAAATTGCAACTCCTTTAAGTAGGTAAAGTTCCAACTCTTGTGTTTTCAGTGGTAGTTTCAATGGGAGAGGTAGTTTATCTTAACTGTGGTTATCATCAGTTGTTAACTTGAAGCTGCATATATGCCTAGTTCTCGAGTTGATATTTCACCAACATCTCTACAACAGTTTCAAACTTTTTGAACTGCATTTACGCAGAGAGGAAATTTTGTTCAATGCAGCCAGAACAGTCAGATATGTGCATGAACACAGTACACTTTGTCCATTTAGTGATGGTAATTCAATCCTCTAATGATATGCATGCCAATTTTCATCAGAGACAATTCTTGTGCCACTTTCATCTTCTGTTTGGTTCTTGGGGGTGGTTGACAGCATAGCGACGGGGTGGTTCATGTCTTGTACAAGTAATTGGTTTTAAAGATGTGGAATTACTAGTACAGTTAGTACAAATGTAAATCAATAGCTCTGAAGTCAATAGTTTTTTTTTTTGTATATTTTGATTGATTTGATCTTCATTGATGCTCGGTGAGCTTTCCTTCGAGCACATCTACACGAAATAAAACGAGATCTACGAATGTAGTGAGTGACCTAGTTCAATTATCTGAGGATTAATATTCTTAACATATGGTACCTCAGCTCATTTGTGCCCTTTGTTCATTTATGATTTCTTCAGGTATCAAATTTGTGAACAAAATAACACTTCCATTCTGTTGCTTCATAATTTTAAGATACAAAGTTTTATTGCATGCACGAGAAAGAGAAACACTTCACACAGGTTCTTTGAAACTCCTTACTATAAAGAACCTAGATGATTTCTTCTCATTTGTCCACGCCTTGATGGAGGAGAGAGTTAATCGATTCATGTACGGGTGGAAAGTAATAAGTACTTGTGGAAATAATTATGTCAAATCAATGTTCAGAGGTAGAGTATCAATGATGCAAACAATTTAACAAGGACAATAAATTAGAATCTCTAAAAAGTGGAACATATAGTTAAATTAAACATATAAAAATTTACATGATTTTTTTCGTTGGTTCACATAAATACATTACATGGTAACATTAGAAAGGATCGCTTCTTCTCGTCTGTATGATATCTTAATTTACATTTCTATACAGAATTCTATTTGTTGGTTCTTTATAAACATCAACATATATTATATGTTGTGTTACTTTTTCAGCTTGAGACATTTTTAGATAATATCCCATTTAGTATAATTAATATGAGTAAAACATATTTTATTTAGAACCTAGAGAGAAACTGAAGTTGCTTTAGAATTGGACTTAAGGTCTCCATTAGCTTTTCACAAGGGTGATTATGAATGCCTTCATAAGTTGTTACCACAATGCTTGTATCCTTTGAAAGCCTTTGGATTTGTTTTTTCACATTGCATGTGTGATGTGTACATCGATAATAACTCCTGTTACATTAAAAAAAAATGAAAATTTTTACTAAAATGAAATATTGGGAAATAATGTTTTATTATATAATAATGATGCTATTGAATTCAAAGTATGAGAATTAATTATATCTTAAGCTTTTAAGTTAGTAAATATGACATATGATCAATCTTAACAGTTGGCCAAAGTTGTGACAATTTATAATATATGTTCATTCTCATGAGAAGGTGAACAACCTAAACTTTCATACTCATCAAAATAGACAATGCACACACATGGCTACATAGAGATATTGTTATACATATGGTAAACAATGAGGAAATGATAAAATAATTATTAGTAATCTCTTATTATCTTAATTATTTTTTTTGACTTTATTATCACTTATTGTTTCTTCTATTTCAGTTATCGCTGCTACTTTTATCTTCTCCTTATTTTCTACACGGTTTCTTCATTTTTGTATTTCCTTTTCCTATTGAATTTGATATGCTTTACTTGAGATGATGATCTATTGAAAACAAACTCTTTTCCATCACAAGGTAGGGGTAAGGTTGCATACACACGAACTCCACTTGTGATTGTTATAGTATATCTCATGATTCAAATTTAATTTTAGAAAAAAATGTTCAAATGCAAGATGAAAGGATGTAGGATTGGTAACGAATTTGATTTTAGATGTTTGAAAGATGGAAGAATAATGGATCATAGGAATAACAAGTTAGTATTTATATTTTATATACTACGTACAAGAAGTTTTAGTGTACGTGCAAAGTATTTCACGTCAATAAGTAAAAATAAATGCATGCAAGAAGAATAAATTAGAGATGACTTCAAATTTATATGGATTACCTCATATAAATATATAATAATCTAACATGTTCTAAATTATCAATGATCCTAAAATGTTTATAATTCTATAGAAAAGGATATTACATAATGAAACACCGATAAGAAACTTAATACACAAAAGTGCAGTTTCAATATTTCAATATGGCTCTTCTTGGTTCATTTGTCAAGAGGAAAAAAATAAAAATATTTAAAGAATAATAGTAATATTCTTCATATTTATTTTCCCTCATGAAACTATGACCTTTAAGTTATAATATGCATGTGCAAAGACGTTATAATACCATCCAGTGAATTTTAACTTATGATACATATAAAGGATCTTACTTATCATAATTATTAGATTCATTGATAATTATCTAATAAACAACCTAGTTATGTAAATATTTTTTACAAATATGCTATCATTACAAGCATTTTGCAAAAAAATATATTTCAAATATAAGTAAAGGGACTTATGATTGTTCATGACTTTACTATTTCATCTATTATTTTTCTTTTTCACATTTTATGTCTTTGATATTTTCACACTAATTAAGATCTAATTCATCATGATATAAGTTATTATCATCACTTTCTTCAATTTCCAAACTAGTTGAGGTCTGTATAAATCGTCTCATTTTGTTCAATATTATTCACAATTATATTAATACGCTGATCATCTATTACCACTCTATATCTATAAAACAACAACCATTTACTCAGTGTAATCCTATAAGTGGAGTATTAATAAGGTGGTCATGTGTACGCAACCATTTATATAAATGAAATAAGCAATGTATATATACTTACCTTGGATGTGTGCTATTTTTGACAGCTTTTTGACCATATTTTCTCCATTTAAATCCATCATCAAGAATATCCTCAGTGCTCCTTGTATGAAATGCAACCCTAGGTGGTACATATTTCCTCTTCCTCCCTTTATCTCTTCTAAAATTATGTTCTTGTAATTGTTGTTGATGTTGTTCACCACCTTCCATCATATTCATATTCGTATTCGTATTCATATTCATATTCATATTCCTAGGATTTATCGACACATTTGACGTTGTTGCAATCGACTCATTATTGTTATTAATCGAAGAAGAGCCCGATAAAAGCCCGGCCCAATCAATATTATCACAAATAAGTCCAACTTGACTAGAGTTACAATTATTTTGCATTGCCAATTGATCATTAGGTTGTTGCATGAAGAAGTTGGCCGGAGATAGTAACGTCAGTGGCGGAAGAGGTGGTGGTGGCGGTGGTGGGAGCTCCTCGCGGGCGTCCATCGACAATAATGTTGAATTATTATAATGCATTTGATCGATGAGATATAATCAAAAGAAAATGATGGGGTTGATCAAGATTTGCAAGAATGTTACAAAAATAATTATGTTTGAAATTTATAGATGAAGTTAGGTGATAGCTGTTGGACAGTTTTATATATATGTTGTGAGAGATATATGTTTTTTTTAGGGTAAAGAGAATAATGAGAAATTAATTGGCTTGTACCCTTTGATAAAAGCCAACTACATTTTACCTAATAAAATCTGTTCAACTGCCTTAATAGAAATGGTAGACGTACGTGCCCAAAAATCATGTTATTACCACCATAACACGTTGTGTAATTATAACAAATTATTATTAATAATAATTATTATTATTGTGGTGTGTTTTTATCTTGTTTTAAGTGTAAAGCATAAATGCATGGTTTAGGCAGGAAAGTTATGAGGTGAATGAAACATTATAGGATGTTTAAAATATGTATGTTCAAATTGTAGTTTAATTTGGATGGTTAAGACAAGAGTTAACCATCATAGCCCAACTTTCATTTAATATTGCATTAAATCTACTAAATAATTTTTTAACGACAAAATCATTCAACTTAAGCTAAGTATTATCTATATATAATAAGAGTCACTAGACTATTTTTCGTAACAAAAAAAACTACCTCAACTTTCCTAACTATCACAAGAAGTAATATGTTGAATTATATTGTTTGGTGAAATATTATAATTGGAATTCTAATGAGTTCTAATTTGATTTTGGGCATAACTCAACCCTAAAAACTAGATCACGAGGGAAGGATTATCCAAAGCTATATCCATGTTTCCACCCCACAAACGATGTGGGACGACTCCACCCCTTGCACATCCAAGACCAGACATTTGGCCCGTGGACATTATAAGACAAGAGGTCCAACATCGTAAATAATAAATTGGTATGAGTCTGATTCTGATACCATGTATTAAAGAAATGAACTTGGATCTAACTTAACACGAAAAGCTTATTCATGATAAGGAAAGAATTTTCCAAGACTATATAAGGAGTCCATGTTTCGATCCCACAAACTATGGTGGGTTCCAACAGTTGGATGAACCAACTTGATGGTTTTATGTGCTCACTAAAAAAAAATTTTGGACCAAGAAGAGCATGACTCAATATTGAGGGATTAAAAATGAAAAAAAAACAATTAAATGCTTACTAGTTACTATAGTCAAGGCATGCAAACTACCTTCGCCTAATTATTAGTGTTACCCTTCACTATTGCTGCCCAACTTTACCTAGTCAATTGTAGTGCTTTTTATGATAATCTCTTTTACATATATATAATAATTTTCAACAAAAAGAAAAAGAAAAAAAGACAAAAGCTTTTATTGTTGATGTAATAAAATTGACCAAGAGAGTTATAATATATTATATGACTCTACGTACATACAAAACGAGAGGGAATGTTCCTAAGAGATTTGATTTGGTTTTTTTATCTGGTGTTCGGTACTTGCATTGGTGATCCAACAAATTCAAAATAGCACCACATAAGAACCATTAAAGATGAAAGCGCTTCTCGCCTTCTATCGTGATTTTTTTTCATGTGTATGCAATGCTTATTAAGCTTAAGATATCTGATTATAAAGGGTAATAAGATCCTATTCATCTCACCATAATCATCAAGCAATCGATTGGTCCTTTTATTGCATAGACTCTAAAATGTGTCAAACCTCCTATTAGTATAGTAATAATATTCACATAAGTTAACAGTGTATTGTTTTATACTGGTTAGATTATGAAATAATAATACATGTATTGGCAATACGTGAAATCATGAATAAAAGTAGTATAAGTAAAAGCAAAAGAAAGTCTTAAAGTTATAAGCAATTATATATAATCATATGCATAATTGTCCTTATATTAATTAGTCACTACATCCATAATATTCTCATATTATTACTTTCCACATAAAACAAATATCCATTATTTGGAATAGAATACTGGCAACTGGATTATTCACCAAAAAGACATAGGAGGATGAATCAAACAAACAACGGAAGCTACATGGAAATTTGATTTGTTCGACTTGTAGTGTTCTTCCTTACTGCGGTTATCAAAAGAATTTTCACGTGCTTGAAATTCAGGCTCGAGTTTTATTATGCCCCGTCTTTTATCAAAATTTTCACGAGCTTTGGTTCATGAAGCCACACATACTTTAGTTTAGATATGGTTATAAACATAATTATTTCGGTTCTAATTAAGGCGAAATATATATATATATATATATAATATATCGTTCAACAATATTATATTATTTGATTTATCTTACATCTTTTTTTTTCTTTCCCTTGGTAATATCCCATGTGAAACCCTTAATAATTTCATCAATTCACTTGCCCAATTCAATGGAAGGATCCTCTTTTATCAGGTAGGTAATATTGTTGGACTAGAAAAAGACTAAATTTAATGTTGAAAAAAAAAAGGTTAATGGATTAAAACATATATAAAGTATCCACGTTTTTTTGAGTGTCATATACTTGAACTATTATGTGTAAAAAAAATAAAATTGAACTATCATCAACTATATATTTATCAACACACACATCAACTATTAATTATTTGAGTTTTTTCACCCTTCACTTAAAAAGAAGAGACTAAATCTTCTACTTTTTTTTTTTTAAAAAAAAAAAGTGATAAATCTTAGAAGTACGTGCATGCTTTGCACAGAAAATTGTCCCATAGATAAAGAATATATAGCATTAATTTGTAGGAATTTAAGTTTGTAATTGTGACAACACGTCAGGGACTGGGCTCAACGTCTAAGTAATGACCAAAAAAAAAAAATGTCGCCCTCCGTTTAAAAAAATGGTCTAGTTTGACTTGATACGAAGTTTAAGCAAAAAAACTTTTAAATTTTGTGGTTCTAATTTAAAATTATGTCAAACGTTCTAAAATACCTTTTAATCTTATGACTTTAAACATGTCATGTGAAAAACTAAAATTAAAATACTGTCAAAACAGTAAAAGGGTCATTTTCTTAAAATAGATTAAAAAGAAAAATTCGAAACAGGGGAATATTATATTGTGTAAATTAAATTCAATTAAATGTGACTAAAAATGGTTTCATATGACTTTTCTATTATATTATTGTGTAAATTAAGTTTGGGAGATAATTACAAATTTAATTTTAGTTTTATGTTCTTTTTCAAAAGACATTTTTCATTTTATATTCACAAGAAATCTGAAAAGTGATTTTGTTGATCCGTTCGTTTTATAAGTGTGATTATAAGAGATCATTTTCAAATTTGTAACGATGAGAAGTCAGACGCTAAGGAATGGGTTCGGTATATTTCTGTATGTAGATATTGCGTAAACTTAATTAAAAAGAATTTTTTATACATAAATGAAGCGTGCATCTTTGGTCTCTATCTTTACGCTACCCATCTACATTCCACATTAAAAAAAAACAAATTAAAAGAATCTCATGATTACTCCTTTCGTTTCTATTTATATATCGTTTTTTTTAAATTTTAAGTTCCTTAAGAAATTACTTCTTTCGTCCAATAATAATTGTCAACTAACTGTTTTGGGATATCCAACAATATTGTTCACTTTATGAAATTAATAGATAATTTTACAGTTAGTTCTAAATTTACCCTTATCATTAATTATAATCATTTACTTGTTATGTTTTTCTAGATATTGTATTTATTATATTCAAAGGGTGATATTGTAAAATAACCCTTCTATTTATAGTTTTTTAAGAAGTGCAAAATCAATAGCGAACAGATCAACAAAATCATTTTTCAGATTTATTGAAGTCAAGTTTTCAATAAATGAACAAAAAATAATTTATTTTGATTAAGTAAATTGACCAATGAATATGAATTAATCATTTAGTTTTCCTGTGTTGGTCAAATTCATACTTTCAAGGCTAATAACTCTCAAGAGTAAATAGAAAGAATAATGTTATTTACTCCCTCGGTCCCTTTTTACTTGTCATTTTTGACAAATCAAGAAAAAACAATACTCCCTCCATCCACTTTTATTTTTCATGTTGCGCTTTTTGAAAGTCAATTTGACTGATTTCAAAGTTATATTCGATTACACTAATTCAATATTTTAAACAAATAATTTAGATTTTCAAAAACTATACGAAAAGTACCATAAATTGCAATTTTTTGCATATCAATATGATGAAAAAAGACATTGTAAAATGTTAGTCAAAGTTTTTATAGTTTGATTCTAAAAGAGGAAACTATGACAATTAAAAGTGGACGGAGGTTATACCCTCAATTTATTTAGAGAGTTATGTTTTTTTAAAAAGGTAGAACCTCTTTAATGAGTAAAGTGATTTCGGAATTCTATCAATTAATAGAAGTAAAATAGTAAACTCACTATGTCAATTATTATTTTCTTAATATGCGTGTCAAGTAAAAAATGGATAAGTAAATGGGACCAGATGAAGCATGTACTGGTTTGTGAAATAACAAATATTAAAGAATACTTATACTTAATAAGAACGACGCATAAATAGGAATGGGGTAGTACTAATACTCTTAACATTGCCATATTTTTCAAATTTTGCAACATACTAGGAATGATTTTCCGTGTTCAACTTCCTCACGAGAGACGTTGTAACAAAGTTAACGAATAAGGCAAAAAATGGAAATTACAGTCCCATCATGAATGTTAATATATGGACCCCTTTGTATTTTTTCCTTAAAAAGTACTACAATTTAATTTAGGATCTTTACAAAATCGTTGGTTGTTTTCATCTATACGATTATTTGAGCAGTTATTTAAGTTAATTCTTTAATAATCTCCTATGATATTACATGCCCTCACGTAACTTGAGCATTGATAACAAAAGTAATTATGAAATTGAATCATATATGTTGGCAGTGGAGGAGTCAGGATTTTTAATAATTGGTTCAAAATTTGAGAAGTAAACACACGAACTAGTGAAAAGGATTCGACATCTATTATACATACCTAAACAATAATTTTAACCATATATAAATAGTAGTAATATTTTCGAACGGGTTCGGATGAGCCCCCTTATGCTGCCTTCGCCCCTGAATGTTGGGGTTGTTCGAACGGAGTTAAGAAGGATAAAATTAGTTCATCAAAAATGACTAGTCTAATCCGATCTGTTTATTTAACATTGAATCGTGA